AGCTATTATGCTGAGTGAAGTAAGCCAGATAGAGAAAGATAAACATCGTATGATTCAATCATATGTGGAAAATAAACAAACACATAGCTAAGGAGAACAGATTAATGGTTGCCGGAGGGGAAGAATGGGGAGGAGGGCAAAAGGGGTAAGGGGACACATATATATGGTGACTGATATAACCTAGACAATTGGTAATGAGCAAGATGCAGCCTATACAGAAATTAATATACAAGATGTAGACCTGAAATGTACACAATGTTATAAGCCAATATGGCCTCAATAAAATAATTTTTTTAAAAAAGAAAAGCAATAAAATAAAAGCAGATTTTAAAAGTGATCTTGAGGCACTAAAAACAAAAGCGTCTTAACCTCTTCATAAATATAAGTATTCTGACCATTTTTTATGCCTAATAGGCTTTTATATGACAGTAAAGTGACAAACTCAATGGGCTAAATATAAATAGATTCCCAAAAGACAAGTCATTCCTTTAAGAACATGTAAAGCCATCAGAATTCTATAAAAAAGTAAACTTCTGCTTTAAAAATAACATTGATATCTGAAAATAAAACTGGCTGCTGTGGAACATGAATGAGCTGCAGAACACAGGAGGAAACTGAATCCAAACTGTCAAGTACTCATCTGAGTCTACTCAAAGTTCTTGTTTGTTTGTTTTATAAGGAAAATAAAACAAACTATTTTAAGGTGTTGACCAGAGCTCATTCGTGAACACTAAACTGAGGAGCTGTACTAGTTTAGTTTCATAATTAGCGTAAAGGAAAACAGAATACTTGCCCACAATCTAATCTTTTCCAGAATATTATAAGCAATGAAAAGGAAACAGCAGAATTAGGTAAAGCAGCAATGTTTTGTACTTTCTTCTAAAAAGTGGTGGGGTAGGAAATATGAAAAAATATCTCAGGTAGATGAGATATTTACAGACATTTTGAAGTGTTAAATTGTTGTTGATGTTTCTGTTTCACAAACTTGCACAATTCACCTTTCCGAACAAAGTGAATAATACTCTTCAAGAAACCATTATAACAAAGAGCACCCATCTGACAGAATTAATATTTAAGATGCAAAAATGTTTAATTGGAAAAAAAATGTTTAACTGGTTGTTTTAAACTTGAAAAATTTGCTAATCTAAACAGTTACAAATGGTGGTTAGGCCATAATGTACCTGCCCCTGAGTCTTTGTTGGTCTCCTCAGAAGTAAATCCTGAGACTAGGATTCTAGCACAAGTAGTTAATTTAGGTAATGAAGAGAAGATTGACAGAAAAAAAGGAAACAAGGAAACAAGTTTTTATCATAAATAGGTGAACTAGGAACTAAAAGAAGGCCAATGTTATATTACTGAACTGTTGTGTGGAGAAAGGAAGGTTTGCATGCATGAGTGTGTGTGTGTGTGTGTGTGTGTGTGTGTGTGTGTGTGTGTCTATGTGTGTGTGTGTTGAGACAGAGAGAGAGAGAGGCAAACCTAAGGGTTTTGGATACTCATTTTGTAATTTAGCTGAAAGCTGGCCCAACAGATCAGTTAGGTCAGCAGAAGAACAAGCTGATTCCAGGTGCTGATTCCAGGCGCTGACTTATAGAGGTCCTCTCCTTGCTGGACCAAGAAGCTTCCATTGTTCCACAGTCAAATGGATGGTCCTTGCTTTCCTGTCCCTGTAAATGCATAGAGCTAGGTTCAGCAAACTATGACTAATGGGCCAAATCTGGCCTGCTGCCTGGTTTTGTATGGCAGTGAGCTAAGAATTTTTAGATTTTTTAATATAAATTTAAAATCAATATAAGAATCACATTCTGTGACACATGAAAGTTACATGAAATTTAAATTTCAGGGGATATGAAGTATTATTGGAATACAGAAATGTGCATTCATTTAGGTATTGTATATGGGTGCTTTCACAGAACAGCAGAAGTGAGTAATTGTGAGAGAGACTATATGTCCTGTAAACATAAAATATTTAAGAAAAAGTTTGCTGACCCCTGGTGTAGAGCATTACAGAAGCAGGTCCCTCTCTGCTAAAATGCTGGCTAGTGGGGTATAGTCCAAATACACACAGCTCCCAGTGGGATCAGGAGAGCACAGAGGATAGTGTACACCCTACTATCCATTGCTTGTGAAACCTTATTTTATATTTGCAGTGCTTATGTTAGTGGAATGTATGCCTCCTTTGCACAACAGAATGTATATTTGTGTGTATATGTGCATATGTGTGTGTGTGAGAGACAGAAAGAGTTTGTGTGTGTATTTGATTAATAGAATCATGAGATGATGTTGGAGAAGTTAAGAGGGGTCAAATCAAAGACTGTAGTTTGGAGATTTTATTCTATTCTAAGTCTATTGGAAAGCTAATTAAAGTCTGTGTTCAAGGGTAGGGACTGATCAGATTTTCTCTTTTGAAGAGTCTCTCTGGCTGTGGCATGGATAACAGGTTGCAGAGGCCAGGGTGGAAACATGAACCAATTAGGACAGTATCACAGTGGTCCAGGAGAGAAAAGATAACAGCTTGAACTAGAGAGAAGTGAGTGGTCATGAGACTTATTTTGGAGACAAACTAACAGAAATTGTGATGAATTAGATGTGAGGGTAAAGGAAAGGGAGGAAATATGACACTGACATAAGTTCCACCGGAAAAAAAAGAAAAAGAAAGAAAAGAAAAACATTCTTAACATATAATCCAAGGGGTCAATTGTTAGATTGTCGAGCAGATGATTACGCCTAAAACGAAATTTCAACAACACCAGCAAAACAACCCTGGTCAAAAATACCTAATAATTATTCGTAACAATTGTTGCTAATTGATCATGAGTTGGTACTAGATTTATAGACTTAATCTTTTGGGGAATCCATCAAGGAACTTTACACATAGCAGAATTCTTCCTTTGTGTCCTTGTTTTTATACATTAGCAATCAATCAGCTCATGTGACTCCAACATGACTGAAAACACACTTCAAAGGCCAGGATATGCTGCAAAAGAGGCTAAATGCCTAATGTCCTTGTTCATGAGTGAACTTGATACGGAGGGACCTTTAAAAAAATGTTAGGCTCTTCTACTGTCTGCTTTCAACTCCCCTTTATGAAATATAAATACGTGGTCTCAGAAATTTACTGGGTCCTAGACAAATGACTATAGAAGCAGAAAAGAAAAAGACATATAGGAAAAGCAAGTTCATAACGTAGGTTCCTAGCTTTTTTTCCCCCACCAACTGTGCAGTCCACTAAATAGGTTCTAGTCATACATATTAAAATAGAGTCTGGCAGACCTGTGGACATTTTATTGACTCCAAGCATCCCTCATGCCATGGGAATCAGGGAATCCTGAGTTTAAAATGACCCAGAAAGGATTTTAAAAGAATATCTATTGTGTTATAATTACTCCCCCAAGTCTCCTCTTCCCAACTCTGAAAATTGTATTCCTCCTCCAATTAAATGATTAAATGGGACAAAGTGATTTCTTCTGTTGAATCATCACCCTTCCTTTCCTCTGATAGTCTTTTGTTCTCCAGTTTCAATATCTCAGCTCCATCCTCTGTTACTCATTTTCCATACTTCTAAGCCCCTCTAAGTTGTTTTCCTCAAAATTCACTGCAATTTGCCCATGTACTTCTTAAATTATGAGACCCAGAACTTATGAAGAGTTCTCTGTCTGATCTCTTTAGACTCAAACAAGATTTTATCATTACCTCTATTTATATATTCATAGCTAGAGAGAAGTCAATGCCTGGCTTCAAAGCTTCAAAGGACAGGCTTACTCTCTTGTTAGGGCTAATGCAACTGGTGACTTTAAGTTGAAGCCAATGCTCATTTACCATTTTGAAAATCCTAGAGCCCTTAAGAATTATGCTAAATCTACCCTGCCTGTGCTCTATAAATGAAACAACAAAGCCTGGATGACAGCACATCTGTTTAAAAGATGGTTTACTGAATATTTTAAGCCCACTGTTGAGATTTACTTCCCAGAAAAAAAATTCCTTTCAAAATATTACTGCTCATTGACAATGCATTTGGTCACCCGAGAGCTCTGATCAAGATGTACAAGGTTAATCTTTTCATGCCTGCTGACACAACGTCCATTCTGCAGCCCATGGATCAAGGAGTAATTTTGACCTTCAAGTCTTATTATTTAAGATATATATTTTGTAAGGTTATAGCTGCCATAGATTTTGATTCCTCTGATGGATCTGGGCAAAGGAAATTGAAACCCTTCTGGAAAGGATTCACCATTCTAGATGCCATTAAGAACATTAGAGATTCATGGGAAGAGGTCAAAATATCAACATCAACAGGAGTTTGGAAGAAGAAATTGATTCCAACCTCATGGTTGACTTTGAGGCATCAAGACTTCAGTGGATGAAGTAATTACAGATCTGGTAGAAACATCAAGAGAACTAGGATTAGAAGTAGAGCCAAAAGATGTGATTGATTTGCTGCAATTTCATGATAAAACTTTCATGGATGAGGAGTTGCTTCTTATGGATGAGCAAAGGAAGTGGTTCCTTATGATGGAAACTACTCTTGGTGAAGATGCTGTGAAGACTATTGAAAGGACAATAATGGATTTAGAATATTGCATAAACTTAGTTGATAAAGGAGTAGCAGGAGGGTTTGAGAGGATTGACTTCAGTTTTGAAAGAAATTCTACTGTGGGTAAAACTATTAAACAGCATCGCATGCCACAGAGAAATCGTTCATGAAAGGAAGAGTCAATAGATGCAGCAGACCTCACTGTTGCCTTATTTTAAGACATTGCCACAGCCACTCCAACCTTCAGCAACAACCACTCTGATCAGTCAGCAGCCATCAACATCAAGGCAAGACCCTCCACCAGCCAAAAATTATGACTCGCTAAAGGCACAGATGATGTTTAGCATTTTTGGCAATAAAGTATTTTTTAATTAAGGTATGTGCATTGTTTTTTAGACATAATGCTATGGCACACCTAATAGACTACAGTATAGTGTAAACATAACTTTTATGTAAACTGGGAAACCAAAAATTTTGTGTGACTTGCTTTATTGCAATATTCCCTTTTTGCAGTGGCCTGGAACTGAACCCACAATATCTACAAGATATGCTGTATTTAATATTCTGATCCAAGGCTTAAGGCCAACTTATTCTTCAGCTTAGACCCAGGCCTCAACATCTTTCCCTTTTCCCCTAGAGGTTGAACCAATTTAGACCTCAGTTAAAGAAATACTTTCTGAGATCTGGCCAAAACTTTCTTATTGTTATCCCTAGATGAGGCCACTGGGAAAAACAGGGTAATCCAACAGGGTCAGAAACAAACCTTGGCTTGTTTATTAAAAAGTGTACACGGGACTGTAGCTCAGTGGTAAGGCCTGAGCGCACACACAGAGTGCTCTGGATCACCATCCCCAAGATGGGTTGTCGACAGAATAGCCACAGCTCAGAATGTGTTTGCTATATACTCTCCTTTAGAGACAGGAGTGTAGTTGGTCCTTCTCAAATCAGGAAAGACCATAGTGCCCTTTATAACTGCATGTAACTACTTTTCAAGCTGTTTAAGTGTTATGGCCATTGTGTGGGCTTCAAATAACTGCTATACTTGATAAAATTACCTTCCAACACTCATCCCATTTTAGAGGCCTTCTGAGATGCTTGGACGTGAGCATCACTGTGTTTGGCTTTGCTGCATACTTGCTCCTGCTGAAATGAGAGAACAAGGAGTTGAGGCTGACTGCATACTCCAGGAGAGAGAGACCTAAATTTGGACATCTGCCCTCCACCAGATTCTGTAATTCTCATACCACAGCTTCAGGTAAAGTGCAGTTCAGATTTCTTTGAGATGTATTTTTTACTTCTTTTTCACTCATCTAATCGTATATTGTATTTTCTCCATAAGTAAATGTAAATTAGAATAGCTTCCTCATAAGGGAAATTGGTTAGATTCTTGATTATATAACATAGTCTCCAGCATCAGAACTGGTCTAAATAAATGTTAGGTTATATGTATTTTATTTATAAATATATAAGTAAATATATTTAATAAGAATAATAATTTTTTACTGAAATTGAGATGTTTGCTGAACCACAAAACCACATGGGCTGGGAAAAAATCTATTCTATACCTTATTACTTATTCAAGTGACATATACCAGATTTCCTGACCCTGAATGTGGAACAGAAGAAAATATCAGGCAGTAAGAGAAGAACATTTTTCTACTAAAGAACATTTGGCAACAACATAGGAAAAAAATGTCAGTTACAGACAATAGACACATTTTCTTTAAGAGGGAGAAATCTAAAACAGCTCACTTACCTATTTTAAAGTAAGAGGAAGAGATTATAAAAGCCATTCCATAAAATCATTTAAGGATATGGACCATTAGGTACAGAAACAGACTGAGAGAGAAGACAGTAAAAAGCAGCGTGTGTCCACACATACACACATAAACACACACACACCCTTCAAGTGTGATACAAATTTAACAACACTAACAAAGCACAGGGAACAAAGCAGAGTGGATGAAGGAGACATAAAGAAAGATAAATGAAATGATTCAAAGAGAGAGGCAGCTTCGACGCAGTCGTCCTGAGGAGGCTCCTGTCATGGAGATCCTCCTGTTTGCTTGGACAGAGGGTGTATCCCCATAACAAATAAATTCCTTGTTGCCCTGCTTTTGTTTTCAGCAAACTGGAGATTCTAGTCTTTGCATTTTTTTTCACTGTTTTCCCTGACTACAAGCAATTGTTTCCTAATTGGTTACTATTAGGGCATGTCCATTAATTGAAACAATAAATATTTAATGAGCACAAATAATATACTAGACATCATCCTAGATTCTTGGAACACATCAGTGAGCAAAATAATGTCCTCCTCTTATATTCAGGTGGTTGAGATAGAAAATACGTACTAAGTTTATAATACAATGCCAGGTAGTGGCATGTGCTTCAAAGAAAACTGAAGCAGGATTGGGAAACAGAGTCGCAAAGATGGACTAAATTAGGGAAGGCCTCTCTGAGTCTCTGATTTTTACCAGAAATCTGAAAGAAGTGACAAATTAAGGGATGTGAATACTGTCAAGGGAAGGAGAGGGACATTCCAGGCCTTGATGAGAGCCACACTTGGCATCTAGTACAGTGTTCCCCTCTTATCCTGGGGGGCTACATTCCAAGACTCCCAGTGGATGCCTGAAACCAAAGATGGCACTGAATCATATATACACTATTTTTTTTCTATACATATATACCTATGATAGTTTAATTTATAAATTAGGCAGTGTAAGAGTTTAACAACAACTAATAAAAAAAATAGGACAATTATTAACAACATACCATACAAAAAGTTTCTGTAGATCTTAGCAAGCTCAGCATACAATTTTTTTTCTTTCCTTCTTAAATCAAGAATTTTCACCTCTTCTCTTAAAGAAAGCACTTTATGACTTCTCTTTAGCATATCCAATTGCCAGCATTACTCGTCTTGTGCTTTGGCACCATTATTAAGTAAAATAAAGGTTTCTTGAACACATGCACTGCCATACCCCAAGAGGCGATCCAGCAACCGAGAGGGCTACTAAGTGACTAAAAGGCAGGTAGCAGACACAGCATGGATTTGCTGGACAAAAGGAAGATTCATGCCCCAGGCAGGACAGATCAGGATGGGGCAAGATTTCATCATGCTACTCAGAATGGCATGCAATTTAAACTTATAAATTGTTTATTTCTGGAATTTTCCATTTAATATTTTCAGATTGTGGTTTACTGTGGGTAATTGAAACCACAAAAGTGAAATTGCAGATAAGGGGGGACTACTTTATCAGCACAGCTGGAGTGGCGTTAGTAGAGGGAAGAATGGTGGGAAATGTGGGCATGGGGGAAGGCCTCATTGGCCATATAAGTTGTGGTAAGGAATTTGGGGTTTACTTTGCATGTTTAAAGGATTGAGAACAGGTAGATGAGATGATCAGATTTTTGAAAAACTATCAGTCTAGCTAACGGGTGGGTAATAGTCTCTAACCTATAAAAAACGGAAACAGGCAATTTAAGAGGTTTCTGTAGTAGTTTAAGTGAGAATTTCATGGTAGCATTGACCAAGGTGAAAGCTGATGGGAATGCCAAAAATTGTTCAGATTCCGAATGTTTGGAACATGATGCCTGGAGGCTTTGTTGATGGTTTGGATGTAGAGTACTGAGAAGGGTGGTAAGGTGTGGCCGAAGTTTGTGGCCTGTGCAACTGAGTAAACGGAGGTGTCATTTAATGATAATGCTGAAAATCTTTAAGTAATCTAAAACTATGCTGCTAACTGAATTGTAAAGAAATTGAGAGAATATCTTAATGAGAAAACTTCTGTAGAGTCATTTGTAACATGGTAATGTCTTGTTATTGCAGTTTCAGGAAAGAAGAAATGAAAAGCCCAGGAGGGAATAATCACTCTGACCCTGTGACTGAATTCATTCTTCTCGGATTCCCTTGTACCTGGGAGACTCAGATCCTCCTCTTCTCACTCTTCTCTGTGATCTATTTCCTGACGGTAACGGGAAACCTGTGCATTATCTGTACAGTGTGGTGTGTCCACCATCTCCACACCCCCATGTACATCCTGCTGGCCAATTTTTCCTTCCTAGAGATTTGCTATGTTACTTCTACTGTCCCCAATATGCTAGCCAATTTTCTCTCTGAGAGAAACTCCATTTCCTTCTCTGGCTGCTTCCTCCAGTTTTACTTCTTCTTCTCCATGGGCACCACTGAGACCTTCTTCTTGTCTGCCATGGCCTTTGACAGGTACCTCGCTATCTGCAGGCCCCTGCACTACCCCACTGTCATGACAGTTCAACGCTGCATCAGAATGGGAGCCTACTGCTGGATATGTGGCTTCTCCTGTTTTCTCCTCCCAGTTTATCTCATCTCTCAGCTTCCTTTTTGTGGCCCTAATACTATTGATCACTTTTTATGTGACCCAGGACCCCTTATGAAGCTTTCCTGTGTGCCAGCTCCTGCCACTGAGATCACCTGTGCCATCTTTAACTCAGTCCTAATTTTCTCCACTTTCCTCTTCATTACCAGCTCCTACACCCTGGTGATCAGAGCTGTGTTGAGGGTCCCCTCAGCAGAAGGCCGGCGTAAGACATTCTCCACATGTGGCTCCCATCTAGCCGTGGTGTCCCTGTTCTATGGCTCCATCATGGTGATGTATGTGAGCCCAACAGCAGGCAATTCAGCAGGGATTCAGAAAATTGTAACTTTATTTTATTCTGTGATGACTCCACTTTTCAATCCCTTGATCTACAGCCTTCGGAATAAGGAGATGAAGGAGGCCCTGAGAAAACTTTTTAGGGTTATAAGATTGGGTCAAAGACAGCCTCTGAAGAACTAGAATCCACAGATACGTATGACATACAGAGATATAAAATTATAGGAGGTTAATGTTCTTAAGTAAATTTGAAAGTAAGTAAATTTGTTCCCTATATTCCCCGGAATATTTTTAAGGATGCATTTCAGTGAAGCAAATAGTAAATAAGATCTTACCATAACTTGCATAAATCATTCATACTAGGCTTTATTATATTAATATTCCTGTGTGTATAGCATGGAAACAGGAAAATGTCAGACATTCTCGGGCATTTTGAAGGAAAAAACATAAATAACCCAGAAGTCAACTGGTCAGCTCCTATCCTTTGCAAATTTAGGTAAATTTGCCTCTGAGTCCCTGTTTCATAGTAATTAGATGTCGGGAGTCCCCACCACTGTCTCCCTACACACACACATACATAAACACACACACACGCACACACCATACAAACATGTTCATGAATGCTTCTCCTCTCCCAATCGTGAATCCACCAGCTGTCTTATTTTGATCACAACAATCTGGATGTGAGAGCCATTCCTTTCAATATTTTACCCAAAACCAAACTCAATCCAGCTTAGTGTAGGTTTATTAACTTGACTACAGGTCAGAGTTAGGGAAAATCAGAGGAAAGGCCACCGTGCTGAACACCCTTTCAATCTCTCATATTATACCTGGTTCTGCCTCTTTTTCTTCCTTCCTCATCTTCTTTCCACTACCCACAAGAGTGACCAGAACATCTTTCCTTTCTTATTCAGAATAATTTTGACCATATGAAGGCCCTTTGGGGTTTGAGATTCTTCCTCAAGTGGGCTTGTCAAAAAATTTCTTCTCAGCCAACCTAATTCTCAAACAGGATCTTATCTGGAGAAAATAGCTTTCTCCAACTGGTTACTTTTTGGGTTGCGTTAGGTTCTTATAACTTAATATATTCCTTCTTTATCTTTGTACCACAGGAGCACTTAATGCAAAAGAATAAATTACTGAAACAGAACAGAGGTGAAACCTGGAAACTAGATTACCTGGAAAAAACTTAATGAAACAACAATAACTCATATTTTAAGTGCTTTATTATTTTTAAAATGCTTTTCTCCCTGTACGTATTAGAACGAATACTAGCGATGTAGAGAGGACAGTGTGTGTGAGTCTGAGGATAGAAATAAGATAGTATGGCCAATGTCTGAAATGAAGTATGTTACTCCAGTAAATTTTCAAAGTGGCCTGAAATTATCATATTGCATCTTAGTAAATAAGTCTTACTCTAAGAGGGCACAATCTCATCTACTAATGAAATTGTGCACAGTTCCATAGGAGCACAAAAAACAAGATTCACTTGTGCATGCCAACTTCTCCTTCCTGGAGATCTGCTATGTCAACTCTGACATGCCCAACATGCTGACCAACTTCCTCTCCCAGACCAAAACCATCTCCTTTGCTTGGTGCCTGCTCCAGCTGTACTTCTTTTTCTCACTGGACACAACCGAATGCTTATTTCTCTCCATCATGGCCTATGACGGGTTCCTGGCAACCTGCCAACCCCTACACTACCCAGCTATCATGACTACTAAGTTCTGTAGCAGCCTGGTCATCTTTTGCTGGGTTTTCTCTGGTTTCTGATCCCAGTGATACTCATTACCCAGCTACCATTTTGTGATCCAAATGTGATTGATGACGTTCTGCATACCTAGGTCCTCTGCTGGCCCTGGCTTCAGCCTGCATCCCAATCCCAGGGACTGTTCTTATATGTGGCACCACGAGCTCCCTCCTCATCTTTGCCACTTTTTTCTACAGTATTGGTTCCTACACCCTGGTGCTGAGGGTCATGATGCAGGTGCCCTCAGTTACTGGCCAGAAGAAGGCCTTCTTCACCTGCTCCTCACATCTGGCCATCGTGTTTCCATTCTATGGCTCTGTCATGATGACACATGTGATCCCAAGGTCAGGACAAGAGGAGGACATGCAGAAGCTCACAACTCTGTTCTACTCAGTTTTGACCCCTCTTTTCAACTCCATGATCTATAGACTACAGAATAAAGAAATGAAGAATGCCTTGAAGAAAGTTCTAGGAGGTTCCTAAAACTGCTCTGTGATGTTGGTGAGTTATTCCCAGATGCGTTTAGACTGTGACCTTCCTGTTAATGAACAGCTGGGAAACTAGCAAGTAGATGTGAATTTTTTGAAGAAGGCAGTTCAAAATCCTAAATGCCAGATCATCAGTGAAGACTTTCCCCAGGCACAATTAATTGCCTCTTCCATAGCACATTACTTGTACTTCTATTTAATATGTCATTCATTTTTTTCTTGTATTACAGTTAGCTGTTCACAAATCTTTCTCCACATGCCTCCCCATACTTATTAGATTGTGAATTTTTTAAGAGTAGCATTCTGTGCTTTATTAATTTCTGTAACTCCATAACCCAACACAATGCCTAACACAAAAACATCCATAATGTCAATTTAAATAAAACAAATATATTTGTTCATATTTCCTCACTATATTCTATCTTTTTTGGGGGGTAGTGAGGAAGATTGGCCCTTAACTAATATCTGTTGCCAGTCTTCCTCTTCTTTTGCTTGAGGAAAATTGTCCCTGAGCTAACAGCTGTGCCAATCTTCCTCTATTTCTCATATGTGGGATGCCGTCACAGCATGGCTTGATGAGCTGTGTGTAGGTCCGTACCCAGGATCTCAACCCACGAACCCTGGGCCACCAAAGCGGAGTGCATGAACTTAACCACTATGCAACCAGGCCAGTCCCCAGATTCTATCATTCTTGACAGCCAGAACAGTGTCTAAAGAAATTATACAAACTCTGTAACAATCTGTATTTTATATGTGCTATGAATGAAATGAAAAGAATTTTCCTAGACAAATATGAGGTTTTCTTGAACTGGTTGGACCAATCATTAAATGATAAATCAAATCAATGGAAAAATCTCCTCAGATGAAAGGTAAAGTCTAAGATATTACCTGGCACTGTACTAGCCTTTGGAGTGACCCAGATTAGCAATATTTCTTTCCTATCCTCAAAAAGACCACAACCCAGTGATGGAACTAAACTTTTCTAATCCTTTTTTTTTTTTTTTCGCTCTGTAACAGCTTGACTGAAATATACCATAAAAATACCATAAAATTCACCCTTTCAAAAGTGGACAATGCAGCATTTTTTAGTTTATTACATAGTTGTGCAATCATCACTGCTAACAAATTTTAGAATATTTTCTATCACCTCAAAAAGAAATCCCATTCCCATTATCAGTCACTCCCTACTCCCGTCTCCCTTCAGCCCCTGACAACCACTAATCTACTTTCGGTCCCTATGGATTTTGTCTATTCTGGGAATTTCATATAAATAAAATCATACAATGTGTGGCCTTTTGTGCTAGCTTCTTTCACTTTGCATACTGTTCATCCATGAACAACTCATCTATGTTGTAGCATGTGTGAGTACTTCATTCCTTTTATTGTCAAATAATATTCTTTTGTATGGAAATACCACATTTTGTTTATGCACCAATCAATTGGTGGACACTTGGGTTGTTTCCACTTTTTGGCTACTATGAACATTGATACTATGAATATTCATGTACACATTTTAATGTGAACACATGTATTCATTTCTCTTGGATATATACCCATATTAGTCCATAGAGGCTACCATAACAACATACCACAGGCTTGGTGGCTTAAACAATAGAAATTTATTTTATCACAGTTCTGGGGGGCTGGAAGTCCAAGATCTAGGTGCCAGCAGAGTGGGTGTCTGGTGAAGCCTCACTTCTTGTCTTACAGATATCTGCCTTCTCACTGTGTCTTTACATAGTGTTTCCTCTATGTTGCAGGGAGAGGGAGAGGGAGAGACAGAGAGACAGAGAGACAGAGAGAGAGAAAGAGAGACAGAGAGAACAGGGGTGTTTCTTCCTTTTCTTTTAAGGACAACAGTCCTATTGGATTACGGTCCCACCTTTGTAACTTCATTTAACCTCAATTACCTCTTTAAAGGCCCTGTCTCCAAATACAGTTACATTGGAGGTCAGGCTTTCAACATATGAATTTTGGAGGGATGCAATTCAGTCCATAACAATACCTGAGTGAACTTGCTAGGTCATATGGTAACTCTTTCAAAGAACTGCTAGACTGTTTTCCAAAGTTGCTGCGCTGTTTTATAATGCTACCTACAATTACGTGGGTTTCAAATTCCCCACATTCTGGCCACACTTGTTATTCTCTCTATATATTTATTTATTAGCCATTCTAGACAGTACAAAGTAGTATCTCACTGTGGTTTTGGTTTGCATTTTTCTAATGATTAATAATATTAAGCATTTTTTCATGTAATTATTGACCATTCATGAATCATCTTTGAATAAATGTCTATTCAAATTCTTTGCCCTATTTTTCATTGGCTTAGTTCCTTATTTTTCATTGTTGTTGAGTTTTAAGAGTTTTTAAAATATTCTGGATACAAGTCTTTTATCAGATATATGATTTGCAAATAATTTCTCCCATTCTGCCATTCTCTGGGTTGCTTTTCCCTTTTCTTGGTGACATTTGCAGCATGGACATTGTTTATTTTGATGAAGTCCAATTTATTTTTATGTTTGTGTCTCTTGTTCTTTTGGTGCCATATCTAAGAAACCATTGCCTAAGCCAATATCACAAATGTATATGCCTGTGCTTTCTTCAGAGAGTTGTATAGTTTTATCTCTTACATTTAAGTATATGGCCCATTTTGAGATAATTTTTGTATATGGTGGGAGATAAGGATCCAACTTCATTCTTTTGCATGTGGATACACAGTTGCATGTGGATACACGGTTGTCTCACTGTTGAGACTGCTCTTTCCCTATTGAATTATCTTGACACCTTTGTTGAAAATAAAACCTTAAATATAAGGATTCACTTCTGGACTCTCAATTCGAAACCTGCATATCTATCCTTATGCTAGTATCACACGGTCTTGATTACTGTATCTTTCTGATAAGTTTTGAAATCGAAGAATGGGAATCCTCCAACTTTGTTCTTTTTTTTTTTTTTTTGAGACTGTTTTGGCTATTCTGGTTCTCTTGCATTTCCTTGTAAACTTTAGAATCAATTCGTTCATTTCTGCAAAAAAAAAAAAAAAAAGCAGCTGGTACTTGCTAGGGATTGCACTGGGAATTGCACCGTTGATCAGTTTGAGGAGAACTGAGACTTGAATAATATTAAATCTTCCAATCCAATAACATGGGATCTCATTCTATTCATTTAGCCTTATTGTAACTTCTTGCAACAATGTTTTGCAGTTGTCAGTACTCAAGTCTTGCATTTCTTTTGTTAAATTAATTTATCATATTTTTATTCTTTTAATGCTATTTGTAAATGGCATCAGGATGCCTTGTATTTATTTTTCTTGCTGTGTATTAGAACATTCAGTACAATGCTCTACATAAGTGTCAAAAGCAGGCATCCTTGTCTTGTTCCGGATCTTAGAGGGTAAGCCTTGACTACCTCACCACTAAGTGTAAGGTTAACTGTGGGTATTTTATGGATGCTCTTTATCAGGTTGAGGAAGTTCCCTCCTATTCCTAGTTTTCTTTCTCTTTTTAGGATTTTTATCATGAAAGAATGTTGGATTTTGTAAAATCTTTTTTCTTTATCTATTGAGATAATAAAATATTTTTGTCCTTTATTCTATTCATATATTAAATAACACACACAATGATTTTCAAGTCAAAACCACCCTTGCATTTCTGTGATAGAACCCACATGATCACGATATATAAACCTTTTTATGTATTACTGGATTCAGTTTGCTAGCATTTTTTTGAAAAATTTTTTTGTCTATGTTCATAAGGAATATTGCTCTGTAGTTTTCTTTCCTTGTGATATCTCTGTCTGGTTTTGGTTTCAGAGTAATACTGGGAATGATTTTTTTGGATATGATACCAAAACTACAAGCAACAAAACCAAGACAAAAACTAAAAGAACAAGTGGAACTACATCAAGCTAAAGAGCTTCTGTAGAACAAAGGAAATCATAAGCAAAATGAAAAGGCAACCTATGGAATGGGAGAAAGTATTTGCAAACCATATATCTGATAAAGGATTAATATCTAAAATATATAAAGAACCCCTATAACTCAATAGAAAAATAAACAAATAACCTTATTAATAAGGAGCAAATGACCTGAAGAGACATTTTTCCAAGAAAGACATATGAATAGCCAACAGGTACAAGAAAAGATACTCAACATCACTAATCACCAGGGAAATGCAAATCAAAACCACAATGAGATATTACCTCACACCAGATAGAATGGCTTTTATCAAAAAGACAAGAGACAGGGGCTGGCCCTGTGGTGCAGCAGTTAAGTTCACACATTCCACTTCAGCGGCCTGGAGTTCGCCGGTTTGGATCCCAAGTGAGGACATGGCATTGTTTGGCAAGCTATGCTGTGGCAGGCACCACACATATAAAGTAGAGGAAGATGGGCATGGATGTTAGCTCAAGGCCAGTCTTGCTCAGCAAAAAGAGGAGGATTGGTGGCAGATGTTAGCTCAGGGCTAATCTTCCTTGAAATAATAATAATAATAAAATAGACAAGAGATAAGTGCTGATGAAAATGTGGAGAAAAGGGAATGCAATGTACATTTCCCTGTTGATGGGAATGTAAATTGGTACAAACACTATGAAAAACAGTATGGAAGTTCTTCAAAGAATTAAAAGTAAAACTACCATATGATCCAGCAATTCCACTTCTGGGGGTATATGGGAAAAAAACATATTTGCACCACCAGTTCATTGCAGCATTATTTACAATGGAAATAGTGTAATGTAACATAATGACATGGAAACAACCTAAGTGTTTATTGATGGATGAATAGATAAAGAAAATGTGATGTGTATATATATAATAAAATATTATTCAGCCATGAAAAAGAAGGAAATCCTGCTGTTTGCGACAAAATGGTTGAACATTAAGGGCATTATGCTAAGTGAAATATGTCAGACAGAGAAAGACAAATACTGTACACTCTCACTTATATGTGGAATCTTAAAAAAAACGAAGTTCACTTATATGTGGAATCTTAAAAAAAAAGAAGTTATAGAAACAGAGAACAGATTGGTGGTTACCAGGGGTGGAGGGTGGGGGAAATGAGTGAAGGTAGTCAAAATATGCAAGCTTCCAGTTATAAGACATATAAGTTCTGTGGATGTAAAGTACAGCATGATGACTATAGTTAACAATATATTTTAATTGCATATTTGAAAATTGCTAAGAGAGTATATCTTAAAAGTTCTCATCACAAGAAAAAGAAAATTTTGTAACTATGTGAGGTTATGGATGTGAATTAAACTTAGCATGGTAATAATTTCACAATATATACGTATACCAAATCATTATGTTTTACACCTTAAACTTACACAATGTAATATGATAATTATACTTAAATAAAACTGGAAAAAATAAAATAAGGGAATATTTCACAAATCTCTTTCCTCACCAAGAGGGAGAACTTTACTATGTATTTGAACATATACATAGATTTTTTTAAAAGATCAAAAGCGCTCCTCAACTCCCTCCTGTTAAATTCTGTAGCTTAATACTTCAGTTCAAGTATCTGGCACAGCACCATCCACCTTACGAAAGTTATATAAATTCTTTCTGTCTAATCATAATTTTGGGAGAACTTAGTGTGAAGAAAATTCTCTTCACGCCTTCAAACACCAAAAGCTTGCAATGAATAAATAATTCTGGATGATTGTGCATCTTAAGATATCAATATTCATGACTGAAAAAGTGCTGCTACCATTTAAAAAACAAAAACATTTCTACTTTACAGAAACAATGATTATAAAATAAGCAAGTTCAGGTCATAACCCAAAAAATTCTTTTTGCGCACTGAGTGCTATGGACATAGGGAATAGTAAGTTATGAACAAGAGTTGTCTCATTAGAGATGGCTCTAAACCAATAATAGAAGAAAAATGTTGTTAAATATCTGATCTAAGTACATAGATACTCATATGCATGTGCACCCACATGCACATATAAGTAATAAAAACAAAGGAGTCCAAGAGTTTGTCATCTCTCTCAGCAACGCCTTACTTAGAAGCAAGAAAATTTCAACCATCATGTCAACTTCCAGGGACATCTGCTAAAAACAGTTTGAAATAACCTGAAGATGGGAAGGTAGCTTCTAGAACTTTGGCATTTCGCCAAATGCCCCACCATCTCTGCTCCAGGACCTCTTCACCATGAAATGGTAATTTATTTATCACTGTCATACTAAAAGCACAGAGCTGACCCAGGAGAGAAATCTTTTTACAAAAAAAAAAGGGAAGAACCCTTTTCAAGCCATTGAATGAGTCAATAGGAAAGAGAATGAGAATTCAGATGTCATAACTCTGATACTGATAGATAAGAGAGTCCAAAACTTGCAGACAGACAAAAAAAAATGAATAAAATTGAATGAAAGGAATATGAAGAAAAGCAAAAACCTCATGCTTCAGCTAAGCTGGTGTTGCTGTAGTGTTTGCACCATCATAACAGTAACCTGTCTATAGAACAAAATTAACATCTGCTCTAAGAATTAGCATGAGCTAATCTGATCACCACTGTAGAAACTGGGTCCCAAAGGCCAATTAATGGGCTCCTGAGGGAACGAACCACTTGGGATATGATGGACAATCTTCCCTCATGAATTCCCACTTTTGGAATTCTTAGGAGACTATATACCTTTGGAAAAACAAGACATAGGTTACAAAGCAACAAACATATGTCTCTGTTATGCAGCAAATACACCAATTTCTCTCCAAGCCAATATCAGTGTCCAAATGTAAGCCCCCCTCTGGGTTGCTGGCTGCCAAGGATGCCATGCCCTCCATCTTGCCTGCCTTTTGTTGCAGTGAAAACCGAAGATTACATGTCAGACCTACCAGTTTTATGAGGAGATGGATTCAGAAGAGATACAAGTATAGGACAGCTCTGAGGTGTGCCTGTTTGCTTTGCCTTATTTTGTGCGGCTATAAATACAATAGCACTTCATCTTACATGAATTAATGTAAGAAGATTCATTTTACAACTAGGAGGGCTAGGAATCAGGGAAATGAGAGAGAGGAAGATGAGGAAGGAGCCCCAGTAGTACGTAAATTCTGTCCTTGTTAATCAGGAGGTGCACCCAGTCAGAACCAGGTCTTTGGGGGAACAGTATGTTAGCGAAGTGACATCTAGAAATGGCTGAAAAAGCGGCTATGAGGAGCAGGGCAGAAAAAAACTTCAGCTCTCCCTATTTTTAGCCATGTTTGGCTCTGCCACAGAGCAGACGATCGGCCATTCCAAAGAGGGAGAACAACAAGATGACAGAGCACTCCAGATTGGTGAGTTCACTCCCACGTGGTTTACAAAACCATTTGCATCTTCATATACATTAGTCCCCAAATATTTCTTGCTGTTTTCACTCTTTCCTCACGGTTTCTTGGGCTTCTGGGTTACACTGAACTCCTGCTACAGAAAGATTACTCACAGCTTTGCTGTGCCAAACATGATCTATTCATAGACTGAAGAGGAGGCTTACAGTTAAGTGTGACATGGAAAATTGTGAATTTCTTTCATCTTTCGTGTCACTAATTGCAATTATCAAGAGCATCCTTAAATCTATGACATCATGTGATCTGGACAGTAACACATTTTCAATAAATTAATGAATATTCTTAGCTAGAATACTTTTATTAAAAGTGTCTGAGTCTGCATTCTGCACTTATATTTTCCTGAATAAATTCTGTCACTCGATCATGTCACTTTGGGTCATTTAGGTCCAAATGATGACTGTTCCTCACTAATGGAGGAGGTCCTAAAATAAATTACTAAATTAAGACCAAATTACTGACAACAGAATTGTAGGTTACTTTATTGTCTTTGTTTTGCTTTTCTCACCATGGAAGTCACACAATGTCCAAGACTAAGTCTAACTCAGAGAAGGAAGTTTTCACAAATATTCTCTGTCCACTTCCCAAACCTACTCCAATCTTCCACATCTATAACAGGATGGGGGCAACACCCATAAACCAGAAGAATAGAGGCCTTTCTAGGAATCCTGACATCTCAGGCGAAAGTCCTTAATTAATATGCCAGACCCACTGCTCACTTTTTCTGTATTTTTCTAGTATTAACCTAGACCAAGATTTTACAGAAGTATTTTAATCCAACTGGTAAAAGACAGAACCAAATTGAAAGCCATTATGTAGATATCCGGACTTTTAAAGTTTCCTTGAGTTAACAAACCATAATGAACACTGAAGAAATTATGGCACATTTGACACTTTTTGTCTAGATTATCAGACGACCTTAAGACACCAATACTTATAATTCCAACACTGATGTAGAATAAAAGTGAAATGCATAAACGTTTCAGTGTGTTATTTGTTACCTTCCTCCCTCTCCTCTTCAGATGCCTAATATTTGTGTCTCTAATTCCAAAGATACAAGTATTTGAAACTCTGTGTTCAATATTAAGGTTCTCTGTATCTTATTCCACAGATGCAAATACACGATTTTCATATCTACTTACATTTGTAAGTACTGCCATTAACTTTCTCCAATTGCTTATTACATAAGAGCCTGTCTTTTACTGGATTGGAGAAAATACTGAAAGAGGAAAGAGAGAGTACGAAGATTCAAAGTCTGATAACATCCAGCACTCTCAAAGTTTGGCAATCTTCAGCAATATAGTTACATTATTTATTTAATAGAATAATAGAATCTGAGGGACTTAGGCATCTCTAAATAAAAATATTCCTGAGCATTAGGGAATAACGTCATTTTTGTCTTTGTCATTTTTTCCTCTTCACCCCTTAGGAAGCTATGAATGTGTCAGGAGTCAATACGGTGACTGAATTCATACTCCTGAGTTTTCCCTGCTCCAGAGAGGTTCAGGTCCTCCTCTTCGTGCTTTTCTCTGTGTCCTACATCCTGACACTGATGGGGAATGGGGCCATTGTCTGTGCAGTGAAGCTGGATCGCAGACTCCACACCCCCATGTATATTCTGCTGGCCAACTTCTCATTCCTGGAGATCTGTTACATCAACACCACTGTTCCCAATATGTTAAGGAACTTCCTATCTGAGACCAAAACCATCTCTTTCACTGCCTGCTTCCTCCAGTTCTACTTCTTCTTTTCCATGGGCATTACTGAGACCTTTTTACTGCCCCTCATGGCTTTTGATCGGTACTTGGCCATCTGTCAGCCTCTTTACTATCCTACTATCATGAGCAGTCATCTCTGCACAAACTTGGTGGTCCTCTGCTGGGTAATGGGCTTTCTCTGCTATCCGGTCCCTATCTATTTTATCACACAACTCCCCTTTTGTGGCCCCAATACCATTGACCACTTTGTTTGTGACCCTGGTCCTCTTCTGGCCCTGTCCTGCATCCCTGCCCCTGGAATTGAGCTTTCCTGTTCTATACTGAGCTCTCTTATTATCTTCATCACCTTCTTTTTCATCCTTTGGTCCTACATCCTGGTCCTCAGGGCAGTGTTGCATGCTCCTTCAGCAGCTGGCAGACGTAAGGCCTTCTCCACTTGTGGTTCCCACCTGGCTGTAGTGTCTCTATTCTATGGAACCATCATGATCATGTACATCAGCCCAACCTCTGGAAATCCAGCTGGCATACAGAAGATTGTAACCTTGTTGTACTCATCAGTGACCCCACTTGTAAACCCACTGATCTACAGTCTCCGAAACAAGGACATGAAGGCTGCCTTGAGAAAAATTCAGGTGTGCACAAAAATTAGTCAAAGTAAATGAGAGCTTATGAATCGGCCAAGATTAGAATTATTATTTTTCCCCATTTCTATTCCCACTTAAACAATAGGTCTTTATTCATTTGCACCCTGACATGCAGACCCAAATTCATCCATTTATGCCAGGTCAATAATGAACAACAGTACATCAATTAAACTAGACCTTGCCTTCAGTCGGGACTTAATAGATAGTAACTTGAATTGAATGCCCCCGATTTCTGAATTTTAGCCTACCTTGACCTCCAATAACTGCTTATCCTTTTTTCTGTGATCACTTACGTGTTCCCTGAATTCACGCTTTTTTGACCTCTACTAAGTATCTCCATTCTCACCCTTGGTTTTTCTGACCAAATGATCTCTGCTCTGCTCCTGGTAGAAAAGAAGAATATTCATCCCTTTCTAGCTCATATTAAAAGAAATTAGTGCCAATTAATAAATCATAACTGAGCCAAAATTTTTATTTAATTGGTATCCAAATGACTAATAATGATCTAAAACACTGTCTCTCAAAACTTTCTGTTTCATAATTATTTGAGGAGCTCTTAAAAAAAGCAGATTCCTAGGCCTTTCTCCAAATCTCCTAAATCACAATCTTTGAAGTAGACTCCAGAAATTTCTATTTTAATGTTACTCAGGTAATTCTGATGCATCAAGACCAGCACCAGTCCACAGACTGATCTTATAGAGTCACTATTTTAAATAGATATATGACATAAACAAAGAAATAAAAATCTTATATTAGTTAAGAAAAGTGAAAGAAGTTACAGTGAGTACTATAAGTGACTGAAAAACTCACGAGAACAGCAGAAGTTTCTTTTTTTCCTCAGTTTTCAAATTCTACACTTATAAAATAAGAAATAGATTACATTCATCTTAACTTTTCCTACTTGTGAAAGATAATTAAGATACTTGGAAATAGGTTTACATTTTGAAAGAATATTGGCATGTAGTGGCACTAAAATTTGGATTTAGTTTTACATGAGGGAAGATTGAGTTGAGCACACAGCCCCACAGAGGTAAAAACAGACAGAGGGCAATCGCTGGTGATTCTAATATACTGAGATGAAGACAGACGCAGAGGAATTTGATGGCAGCCCAGGTGATGGGCCCAACAATTTGCTCAAAAGTAAATTGGTTGGTTGGCATCTGAAGTGAATACATTTCATTCATTCATTCAATAAACACTTTTCACCTCTATGATGTGCCCTGAATTACATTAATGTAAAAGATAAAGTCCCTGCCTCTGTGAAACTTACATTCTAGTGAGGGAGGCAGATAATAAGCAGGTAAACACATAAATCTATAATTCCAGTAGTCATGAGTAGTCTAAAGAGAATAAAGGAGAAAGAAAGAAATTCTAACCATGTGTGGTGATGCATGTTAACTAGATGCGAAGGATGTGATCATTTTGCAATATATACATATATCAAATCATTATGTTGCACATCTGAAACTAATATAAAGTTAGCTGTCAATTTATCTCAATAAAACAAAAAATTAAGAGTATGAATATAGAAAATGTTGTGGTAAGATAAGGAATAATTTAGACAGATGGTCATAGAATGCCTTTGTAAGGAGGTGATATTTCAAAGCAAGAGAATGTGCCATGCCAAGATCTAGGGGAATAAATCCCATGTAAATACAGGTAAAAGTTTGGGGTTTTCAAAGAACAGGAAAAGGTTGACTGCGCTATCCAGAAGGAAAATTATATATGAAGCTCAAGAGGTAGGCAGGATCAGATCACCTAGAACCTTCTAGGCCACAATAAAGAATGCTTCACAATGACAAACATACACATAGAAACAGAGATTGGATTGGTGGTTACCAGAGGGGAAAAGGGGTGGGAGGAGGGTGAAAGAGGTGACTAGGCACATGAGTGTGGTGATGGATTGTAATTAGTCTTTGAGTGGTGAACCTGATGTGATCTGCACAGAAATTGAAATATAATGATGTACACCTGAAATTTATATAATGTTATGAACCAATGTTACTGCAATCAAAAATAAATATATATAGGAAAAAGAAAAATAATATTTTATCTGAATTTCTGGGGAAGCCTGCCCAATACCATATACTAAGAAGAAGTCTTAATAAAAAATCTCACCTTAGAATCCTCATACACTGCTGGTGGAAGTGCAAACTGGTGCAGCCACTATGGCAAACAGTATGGAGAGTCTCCAAAAAATTAAGAATAGATCTACCACATGATCCAGCTATTCCTCTGCTGGGTATTTATCCAAAGAACCTGAAAACAAGTATGCATAAAGATACATGCATCCCTATAACCGTCGCAGCATTATTCACAATAGCCAAGACTCAGAAGCAACCGAGATGCCCATCAAGGGACAAATGGATAAAGAAGATGTGGTATATACACAACGGAATAACACTCAGCCATAAGAAATTATGAAATCCAGCTATTTGTGGCAACATGGATGGATCTTGAGGGTATTATCCTAAGAGAAATAAGTCAGAGGGAGAAAGTCAAATACAATATGATCTCACTCATAAGTAGAAGCTAAAAACAACGACAAACAAACACATAGCAACAGAGACTAGATTGGTGGTTGCATGTGGTTAGGCACAGGTGTGTGGTGATTGATTATAATTAGTCTTTGGGTGGTGAACATGATGTAATCTACCCAGAAGTCGAAATATATAATCATGTACACCTGAAATTTATATAATGTTATAAACCAATGTTAGCGTACCAAAAAAAAAAGTTTCTTTTTAAAGGAATTTGTATCTTTGTAATCTGTCCTTGAGGATATATGTTTGGGGAGGGGACAAACCAGGGAGCTCACTTGTCCAAAACAAATGGAAAGTCCTCTTAGACCCTAATAAAAGAAACTCTAATTCTAGAATGATGTTTTCAATGACAAACTTAAGAGATAAAGGAAAGTCAGGATCCACTTCTGGGGCTCTTAAACCACATTTAATCATATTATGACTATATAGACATGTACAAAATATGTTCATAACTATTATCTCATCTCATTCTATCAGCCCTATGGAGTACACAAGCAAGGTGAGTATGTAGCTAATATTTAAAGAAATTAGCTCCACCAATCTCTTATGGCTAATAAGTGAAAACACTCAAGCTAGGACCTAGATTTTCTGTGTCCTACTTGTCTATCTATTATCCCAACTCTTCCTCTTTAGGTTCAACTCTGCCAACACCCAGTGCTCTCTTTTTATAGCAGGTCACTCACTTTCATATATGTCTGAATAATCTCCTCAACCATTTCCCTACCTATTCCAGGCCTCTTTCCAAAGCCTTCCAGATTCTTTTTTTTTTTTTAAAGATTGGCACCTGGGCTAACAACTGTTGCCAATCTTCCTTTTTTTTTCCAAAGATTGGCACCTGGGCTAACAACTGTTGCCAATCTATTTTTTTTTCTGCTTTATCTCCCCAAACCCCCCCCGTACACAGCTGTATATCTTAGTTGTACGTCCTTCTAGTTGTGGGATGTAGGACGCCACCTCAACGTGGCCTGACAAGCGGTGCCATGTCCACGCCCAGGATCCGAACCCTGAGCGGCCGCAGCGCAGCGCACGAACTTAACCACTCGGCCACGGAGCCGGCCCCCCAAAGCCTCCCAGATTCTTGAATCCAATCCTGCTTTTACAGATACAACATCACCTATAACTCAGCCTCAAGTTCCAATTTTCCATACAAATACCATTTTTAACCCTGTCTCCAACCATCCTCAATTAGTTTCTGACCTTAATGAAATCCCCTCAAACTTAGAAGCTGTTTCAAACATACCCATCCTTAACCCAGACTCTAATGCTCTATCATCTACATAGTGGTTCTCGGATTTCTGCACGCATCAGAAACACACAGAAAGTTTGTTAAAGCAGATCGCTGGGCCCCACACTCAGAGTTTCTGACTCACTAGGTCAGGGTGGAGCCTGGGAACTTGCAATTTAACAAGTGCTTAAGTGATGTTAATACTGCTAGGACAGGGACTACATTTTTGAGAACCTGCTCTGTCCTTATACAGTCTCACTCCTAAACTCAGTAATATTCTCTACTTTAACTCTTGCCATGATTGAATTCATCTCCCCCTCAAATTCTCTTCCTCATCTTCTTTGTTCTCCTGCCCCTGAAATCAATGAAAAAACTTCATACTTCCCACCTCTGAGCGACTTCAGTGCAAAACTTTCACTTTCACTAATATTGCATCATGTAAGTCAACAACATTACAAATCTACTTTTATAGAAGACTAAATTTTTTCAACTAAATGTGTTCAAGCTATACTTAAAATTGAAAAAGTAGATTCTTTGCCTTATGCTGAATATAATAAAATTAAGTAAAATATGTATAGACGACAATTTTGTTTAATTTAAGTGCTTACATATATGGGACCAAGAATAAACCAGGTCTATTTTGGAGAGAAGATCAAACACACACGTTCTTTCTCCTTCTCTTCTCTCCCATTAACATGTCCCTCTCACTCTTCTAAACTACCCTGCTCCCCAGGCAGATCACTTCCTTAAAGGAAGGATCCCTCCACAAAGAGGAAACATTTCCTAGCCCCTCTTGGATATTTATCCTGACCACTGTGTCTCAACAGTCAAACCGATGGAGGAAATATAAACAAATATAAGTAGGATTAGATGCACACACACAAACACGTGCACAAGGAATTGGTGCCTCCCAGTGAACACACTGGGGAGCTGTGGATCCTAGTCAGGAGAGACTTGTAAACTCTTAATAATCACTGACATGAAAGATACATTTCATTTTGTTCAGAATACTAAAGGAAGCAAGACTCTGGAGCCACAAATACTGCTCTCCATCCACAAATGATCTTTTAGATTGTATTATGAGAACAGTCTTGTAACTGGAGTTTCACTCACATCTTCCTTCTGGAGCCAGAAACACCATCAGGTATGTACAGAAACTCTGCCTGCATCAGTGCATCACTGCCTCTGTACATCCACTGCTGTCAGCTACTAAGAGCATGCTGGTTCTTCTGTAAATTCATTAATTCTATGTTCCTTTGTTCTTTGTACGAACAATATGTTAGCCCTGCAGTTCTTTTCTCTCAACACACTCAGAAGAGTGCTAGGGGTAATATAGTCCCAATAAGGACTCACTTTGGTATCACAGAGCTCTCAGTATACAACTCACTTAGGGAAAATAGTGCTCAAATGTCTTGGATATTGGGGGAAGGGGGAGCATTAAATTTCCTTCAGTTAGAATGCAACCTGAGTCTTGTGCCACTTTGCTTCTGATATCTAAGTTTTGATTGGCAAATATCCTTCAGCAAGAGCAATTAAAGCAGGCTGTTCTTATTTTTTCACAGTTGTTGGAAAGTGACAAGTGGCAAGTGGAAACTAAGAAAGAAGTAGGCCAGCAGATTCTGTTGTCCCTTGGATTCATCTGCAGGTTAACCTTAAAAATATAAGCATTTATAAGAAGAAGAATCTCTGCACTTATAATTTTAAAAGTGCTCTTTCCTGGGAAAGTGGCTTTAAATCCCAAGCAAGTGGTTGTGGTTATGGAGGAAGATCTGGCTTCCTTTTCAGTTCCTACAGAATGGATTATCCAGGCTCCTCGTTCCTCTTCTTCTCTCCAACTAATTTATTATAACACTTAAAGTGAAGAGAAAGATGAAAAGGGTGGATTTAAATTCACCATTTGAGCTACTAATAGATGTACTTTGGAGGGAGAAGCAATAGAAAGGTATGCAGTGAGATTTCAAATTACCTGTGAAGTTCATTTATCCATTTTTTTCTGATTATGTATTATAAGGCTAACTAAAATTTCACTGAAACATAAATGTAAAAAGGTCATGGACATTATGAAGTCAAGTGACCAAGCGGGAGTTAAGACTTATGAGGTCTGGGTCCAGGTCAAAAACGAAGAATTGGAATTGTATTTCTCTTCTTGGTGCCAAGAACTTCCTGACCTGGGGGTAGAATAAGTCATGTCTCATGTCTCTGTCTACTGTTTTGAAAAGCCCAAAATATCTCATTTATGTCAAATAAAGTTTGCTACATGCTACTAATCTCACTACATAGATTTATCTAAGTTATTCCTAACTGGAATAAATATCTTTTTTCAGGCCCACAGCATATAGTTCACGGAAGCCCCCATCACATAGAAACATGACTGTACAGATGTAGGTAGCAGTCCTGGTTGCTTTTATAAACAAGAAGTTCCAAAGGGAAGAAATTTTATTTTTCATGTTTACCATTGTACTCCAGAACTTTGTACTCTACAAGGAATTTAACAAACAGTGAATAAACATTTGCTAAATGTCTAAATGAATAAGTAAATGGATAATGTGCTGCAATTTAAATTCAGAATTGAATTTTTTTTTAATGCAAGCCCAGTAACTACATTTTCCAACCAAGAATTACAGCACATGGTCTGGCAAATACAAGTATAGTTATGGGAATTGTATTTGAAATTACAACTGTCAGAGAAATTTTTATACATATGGTCATCATAATTACAGTTCTTTGAACTAAATAACGGACAAAATTTAGATTTTCATAAAAATCGTGTTTATTAGACAGAACTTTTTCATCATTCTAAAAATACTGTTAGTTAATACAAATACCCAAAGTTACCTTGACAATAAAAGATTTATCCTGAGTTTGCTCCAGGTCTGATCAAATACTGAGAAGCAGGCCTCTGTCATTCTGAAGACTGTATAAATGGCATAAGGATGCAATTTTGTGAGTATCTTAACAGTGACATCAATAAATAATATGGTCAATTATCCTTCATTTGTAGTCAATATATTACTAAATTTAAAATATTGATGGTGGCTTACCAAACCAAGTATCTTGAAATTTACCCAGGAAACTTTAGGACATAGAAATAAGCATGGGCCAATAGCCTTAGGAAAGTTGTTGGCAAAATGTCCAAGTTTATAGTCCCATCTCAACTCTCAACTCCTAATTCAGCCACTATGAGAAAGATCTTTCTGGTCTCAGGCTATCCTAAGGTGACCCTTCTACTCATTATTTAATTTAGGTAACAGCAAGATGATGAATGGCGAAGTTATGGTGTTCAGGGCTTAATTCCTAGCAAAAACGATAGCACATGGTTTTACATACTAGAGAAATTGAAATACCTAGCTGGAAAGTACCTCAAGAGCCCGGTCATGATGTAAAGCACCCCCAAGTGCAGCTTAGGGGGAAACAAGCCAGAGAAAATAGCAGTCTCCAAAAGAAAACATATTCAAATTTAGAATATTTGAAAAGAAGTGGAGTTAGTTCAAACTGATCTCCAAATGGGCCAGGGTATCTAGGAGTTAATGGCACTGCACATTTAAGTAAACCCTTAAATCTCTCTTAACTTCAATTTCCTTATCTGTAAAGGAGAAGGATAAAGCACACCGCCCTACAGATCAAAGGGTTATTAGGAATACTAAATGCGATAATGTACGTAAAAATACTTTGTACGTTTTTAAGCAATTTATTACTAAACCTACAAATGTTATTATTCACTCCTTGGTTCCTTCTGTTTCTCTAACAGCTTTGGGATCCCAGAACACAACAATGCATTTTGTGTCTGAGTTTGTCCTCCTGGGTTTCCCTGGTCAAAGGAAGATGCAGAACTTCTTCTTCTCATTAATCCTGGTGGTCTATCTCCTGACGCTGCTGGGGAATGGAGCTATTGTCTGTGCAGTGAAATGGGACAGGCGGCTTCACACGCCCATGTACATCTTCTTGGGAAATTTTGCCTTCCTAGAGATCTGGTATATTTCCTCCACTGTCCCAAATATGCTGGTCAACATCCTCTCTGAGACCAAGACCATCTCCTTCACTGGTTGCTTCATCCAATTCTATTTCTTTTTTTCACTGGGTACAACAGAGTGTTTCTTCTTGTCAGTTATGGCTTATGATCGGTACCTGGCCATCTGTCGCCCATTAAATTACCCCTCCATCATGACTGGGAAGTTCTGTGTGATGCTGGTCTGTGTTTGCTGGGTGAGTGGATTTCTCTGCTATCCAGTCCCCATTGTTCTTATCTCCCAACTTCCCTTCTGTGGACCCAACATCATTGACCATTTCGTGTGTGACCCAGGCCCATTGTTTGCACTAGCCTGCATTCATGCTCCTTTCACTGAGCTTATGTGTTACACTTTCAACTCAATCATTATCTTTGGACCCTTCCTTTCCATTTTGGGATCTTACACTCTAGTACTGAGAGCTGTGCTTCGTGTTCCCTCTGGTGCTGGTCGAACTAAAGCTTTCTCCACATGCGGGTCCCACCTCATGGTGGTGTCTCTATTCTATGGAACCCTTATGGTGATGTACGTGAGCCCAACATCAGGGAACCCAGCAGGAATGCAAAAGATAATCACTTTGGTATACTCAGCAGTGACTCCGCTCTTAAATCCCCTAATCTATAGTCTGCGAAACAAAGATATGAAAGATGCCCTAAAGAAAGTCCTGGGATTAAAAATTAACCAAAATTGAGACATCTTTGAAATAGAAGCAGAATTTGTCACTTCTGACTTTAGTTATTTATAACAACAATAGAGAATTAGTCATGTTCTGCCTCATACTTAGGTAAAGACAGACTTATTTCTCACAGTTCCTTAGCAGTTCAAGTTCAGCTCATTGATGATAAATCCTCAATAAAATATTTTAAACATGTGTGATCTCACTGAATAATTATATGGTGTTATTATATATATGTTCTGTTTCTGTGATTTATCTTTGCTGGCTTAATCTTAGCTGGTGGAAGGAATCCAGTACATATGTACCTGAAGCCTTTCAAGGGAGGGTGCAATCTTCTAAATTCAGAAAATAAATATTCTGAAAGGCAATGAATCAAGAGGCCACCAAAAAAAGCACCTAGAAGTGGACATCTTCCATTGTTTGAGGCTTTCACATCAAAAACAGAGTATGATTCAGACTTCTAGCACTTAGAGATAAAGTACAAACACTTCTTACCATTCAAAGCCCCCACTCAGTGGACTGCTCCATTCAGCCTTCTCTCCAACTGACCCACTGTCTAAGCCCTGCACTTCACAATGACCAAGCTTCTTCTTTTACCTTCTCCTAAGTGAGCATCTTTACTCATAGCGCTTCCTCCCCAAATCAATTGTGACATCCCCAGTACCACTTGTAATGTAGAATAACAATGCCCTAAACATATTTTATGCCTCTCAGAAGGCTATAGGCAAAGTCTTAGTCAGAAAAATATTCAGAGAAAATTATACTAAGAACAAATCCCATTTTTGTGCCCAAACTCCATGCTGAAACAGGAAAGCCATAAGCTGAGAGGCCAATCTACTTAAAATGAGAGTACAATCTTTCAGTTATAGCCATACTGAGAATGAAATTAGGTATACCAGGAAGATAGGCCTGCTGGTGCTAGGTGATGAAGTAATCTAGCACAGTGTTTCTCAAACGTTTCTACCACCAAAACATGTTGTCAACAGTGGTCAGAAAATCTGAAGCATCTGGGGACAGTGTCTCTTTGAAATTCAAAGTATTATTTTTAAAAATATCACAAATTATACTTTCTGGTCCATAGTACATACATACTCACTGTAATAAAAAATTATCTTCTCTGAGTACGACTGTCCCTTCAGGAAGACATTTAATTAGGGTATTTGTGTATCCCATGCCACAAAATCACATACCCTGTTTGAGAAACACAAGCTTACAGTGACCATAGAGTCCCGTTGATGGCACACATTATTTCTAATAATCCCTTTGGGCCAACTTATCAGAAATATTAATGAAATCCCCAGGCAAGAAGTAAGAAGATCCCTACAGAAAGCATGGAAACTTATAGGATCATATGAAGAGATACATAAGAATTCTCAGCAGTGGTTAAAATGACACATAAATTAAGACCAGCACATAATTTCAACACACACTGTAGGAAATAGGCCACTAGAATCTTACGGTGCAGGGGAAGTGAAACAAGCCATGCAGGAGGCTCTCACTCAGGGCTTCTACATTAAAGCAAGTGGAGGAGAGAATTTTTGCCAGCTCCCCTTTGTGACCATCATAGGTCTCACCAGGATGTCCTAGGAAAGCTTCATGATATACAGGAGACATCTTCTCTGATGGACATTGCTGCTATTATACACTACAGGTGGGCCTATTCAACTATACATTTGTTCATTCAATATATTTAAGAGATCATCAAAGAATATTCGTTTCTCTTTCAGTTCAAGAACCAAAAAGAAAATCTTTCAGAGTATTTAGATCACTCATGTCTCTCCAAAATAAGTACACTAAATGGTGCCAAAGTCATCCACAGGTCTTTCCCTTCTCAGGAAGTGGCTGGGGCACCAGAAATTATATGACTTTTATAGATATTTTGAACAGAACAGTATGGAACTAGCTCTATCCACTAGGACTGAAACCGAAAGGAAATAGGGATTTTTGGTTTTTTACCCTCCTCTTTCAGCCCTCCTCTCTTTCTCCATTCCATTACTCATCTGCACCTTCAGAAGAGGTGGTATTAAAAAAAATTTAAGGGTAAAATCAAATTGGTCTGTATAAGGAATAAGATTCACATGGAGTTTTAATATTGAATACATTAGGAACTGCTTCTTACAATTATTTTGGAAATTATCTGTGAAATTCATTTACCATGCTTTCCCTACAGCTGACTAAGAGGTTTCCTGTGACGGTTTTTTTTTTTTATTTTAATATCAAAAAGAGTAGTCTAGAAGCTGACCCCATGACGTAGTGATTCAGTTTCACTCACTCCGCTTTGGCGGGCTGGGTTCAAGGGTTTGAATCCTGGATGCAGACCTACACAACTCATCAGCCATGCTGTGGTGGTGACCTATATAAAAATAGAGGAGTACTGGCACAGATGACAGCTCAGGGCTAATCTTTCTCAAGCAAAAAAAAGAAGAAGATTGGCAATGGATGTTAGCACAGGGCAAATCTTCCTCAGCAAAAAAAGAGAGTAGTCTATACCTCAAATACATGTACCTAAATCTTGTGCATTGTGATTTTGAGTCAAAGTCTGTGAATCTCAGTTCAAGTCATTGCTGCTATTCCAGGGGTAAGTGCATCTCTGCATCATTTTTCTTGGAAAGCCAGAGTTCCCATAGTGGGGAACCATTTTTTCATAATGTCTCACCAAAATGATCATCAATGCAAGCTAATTAGCTCTTCATAATCATCCTAGTTTTAAAAGTTAAAAAGAATTTATCCTCATCTTTCAGTTTCCTTGTCTTTTGGTTTTTTGTTCACAAGATTATAACCTGCCTTAACATAACCAGCCCAATAGAAAGGTTATATTTGCTTCCAGGTGAGTAGGTTCATAATTCACTTTATGCATTACTAATTTAGTGAGTCTGTAAAGTAGCTGCATCATTAGAAATATATTTATCTTATTTAATATGACCTCACTGAATATAAGCTTCTTTTTTCCTACTTGATTATGTTCAGTAAATACTATAAATATTTTATACATACCATTTATATTTAAAATATTTTTAAGGAAAATTCTCCTCTTAGTCAAAAAATTTAAAAGCATCTTGTTAAAAAATTTCTGCAGATTCTAATAGGTTAAAGCTATCATTGGGCTCTTTTCTCTGAGTTGTATTTGATTCTTAAAAAGACATCTTCTTTGGAGAATAAGAGCAAATTTTGGAATATGGGTAAATAATTATATTGGAAACATCTTTGATTCCCTTGCTTTCTGTTATTTTTAAAACTTGGGCTATTTCTTAAATTGATAAAGTAAAATCTTCCAAATAGTGGATTTTAAGGGAAACTTGTGGCAGCAGAAGACCTTTAGAAGAGAATCGCTTGGTGATTTTAATTTCCTTTTCCAATAGGTATCTCACATTATATTCATCCTTGATGACATATATTTTAAATGTATATGCAGCATTATAAATTGCCAGCATCATAATTGTGAATTAATCATTAGGGAGTGAATAATAGTGACGTTTCATTACTATAAACAAAGGATTAAAAAAAATTGTAAATCAGTTGTAGTGCAATATGAATGTCTTTAAATAGGAAATAGGAAAATATATAAAGGAGTTATTATCTTAACATCTTTGTTGACTTTCTTCTGGTATCCTGGGGAAAAAAAATGATAGAAAATAAATCATCCTAATGGAAATACCTCAAGAGAGAGAGAAAGAAAGGGAGAGAATCGGATTTAATGTCAAAGCTCAAAACATTCAAATTGGTAAAAAGTGTCAGATTCAAATCTATTTTAAAATAATAGCATGGGTATCCTCACATTTTGAAGTGAATAGCGCTAACTGCTATATATGAACAGCTTTCGCTGAAAAAAAATTAGATATAAGACAACGTATTTGTGCCTCTATTTCAAGAATTCTTTATATCAAATGAAGATAAAATTTAACTGATTTTGTCCACTGACAAAGTCAAGCTGCCTGGAATTGTACATTTACAAAGAACCAGGGGCAAATGGGTTATCCAGAATAGGGCAGGATATATTCAGTCTTGTTTTAGTATATTCAACACTTTTGCCTACATGAATCAAACTCCTTGTCTTAAAAAAATGTCTACATGCCTTGGAAGCAAAGTGACTTGTCATTATATATCTGTTTTCTCTCCACAGTCTGGAGACCATGAATAAGTCAAGGATATCTACTGTGACACAGTTTGTTTTGTTGGGCTTTCCTGGTCCTTGGAAAATGCAGATCATTCTTTTCTCAATGATTTTGTTGGTCTACATCTTGACTCTGACTGGGAATATGGCCATCATTTGTGCCGTGAGGTGGGAACACCGACTCCATACCCCTATGTACATGCTCCTGGCCAACTTCTCCTTTCTGGAGATCTGGTATGTGACCTGTACAGTCCCCAACATGCTGGTCAATTTTCTTTCCAAAACCAAGACCATATCATTCTCTGGTTGCTTCACACAATTCTACTTCTTCTTTTCCCTGGGCACAACAGAATGCTTCTTCCTCTGTGTCATGGCTTACGATCGGTACCTAGCCATCTGCCGTCCACTGCACTATCCCTCCATCATGACTGGGCAGCTCTGCGCCATTCTGGTGTCTCTTTGCTGGCTCCTTGGTTTCCTTGGACATTCAATTCCTATTTTATTCATTTCACAACTACCCTTTTGTGGTCCCAACATCATTGATCACTTTCTGTGTGATGTGGACCCACTCATGGCATTGTCCTGTGAACCTACACCCATTATAGAGCACGTATTCCATTCTGTGAGCTCTCTTATCATCATCCTCACCATTTTGTACATCCTTGGGTCCTATATGCTGGTGCTCAGAGCTGTGCTTCAGGTTCCTTCTTCATCTGGGCGGCAAAAGGCCTTCTGTACCTGTGGATCCCACTTAGTTGTGGTGTCTCTATTCTATGGAACCATAATGGTGATGTATGTGAGTCCCACCTCTGGCAACTCAGTTGCTATGCATAAGATCATCACACTGATATACTCTGTAGTGACACCAGTTTTAAACCCCCTCATCTACAGCCTACGCAACAGGGACATGAAATTTGCCCTCTGTCATTTCTTTTGTAGAATGAGAATGATCCAAACCTTGTGAATGGGTTTTGTAAAACCCAAGGACTCTCTTTATGCAAGTGGAAGAATAATCTTCCAACTCAAACTGACTTGGTTTTATTCAGAATCTCATGGACCTTTTCTGCAAAGCAAAATTCATCATGTATTTGATCATATTTTAATGTGGTTTTAGTTTCATAAATGTGCTTCAGTGGAAAGAGATTGCCACTGAACACATGGTAAAAATAACTCATAAAAATCTTAATATTGGAGGGTTGTCAAGATGGCAGTGTAGGCAGACTCTGAACTCATATCTTCCCACAGACACAAGCAATTTGCAACTACTCTGGGAACAATTACCCCTGAGAGAGGACTGAAAACTGGATAAAAAGAATCCCCCACAACAAGGAACAGTCCTGACTGAGATGGAAGAGGCATAAATTCCTTCTGTAGAGAAAAAAGCCACCTTCACAAGCCACAGCACTTCATGACTGGCTGAGAGCAATACTAAGATATGCAGCCTTCCCTGGAGGAGTGAGGAACCTGAGCAGGGGAGTGTCACCACTATAAGCATAAGCATTGTCTCAACTGAGATGAGTCTCACAATATCTGGTTTTGCTGGCTACTAATAACAACAGGGAATACCACCAGAAAAGCTATCCAACATAAGGGGAAAAAAGCTGGCTCTTGAAGGGCCCACACATAAATGTACCCATTTTGGAAAGCAATCTAAAATCACGAGAAACAAAGGTACATAGTCCTTTGGTGAAAAGAGACTCACCTGATAGGCTCTGGGTGCATATCAGTGAGTGGTGAGGCTGCTCCAGGGACTGAGACATTGGTAGCAGCAATTATTGTGACCTAGTACAGGTGTGCTGACACAGAGGCTGGCAGAAGCCACTGGAATGCTTCCTTCGATCTGTTAGCCCAGGGTCTTCCCCACTCAACTAAAGCACCAATTTAATCCAGCTCAGCCAGGCCAGGCACTCTGCCCTAGGGACTGGCCCCACCAAAACAAGCCCTTGGCAACTTCTGTGCCTGCAGAGGCAAGGTGCCTAGAACCTCTACAGCCAGGCCAGGGAGTCTGCCTCTGCAGGGCAGGGCATGCACGAGGAGCAGGTGAAGTGTATGGGGAGTTGGTGGAGTATGTGGAACCTCTGCAGTGGGGCAACTGGGTCTGCTTCAGGGGTAGGGATGTGTGCATGAGGCAGGAATGTGTTGATGCTGTGTGTGGCCCTATGGGTGGTGAGACTTGTCAGCTGAAGAAGTCTTGTGTTTCTCAAACAGCCACATAGGGATTGGCCCCACCTTCCAAAGCCTGAAACAATTGGGTGCTTCCCATGTCTGGGGCCAGGCCTACTCAGCTACAATCCTGAGAAAGCTGACAAGAGCCTTGAAAGCTGGAGGCCTACAGCAATTGTAAGCCCCTGAACCTAGCAATCAGCCACACTGGGGGCCTACTCACTTAACAGAAAAACTGCAACAAGAATGTGCTATTCGACCTTGCAGCCAGCTGTGCTTGGACTCCTCATGTCCAATAAAAGGATTGAAGGGTCCATAGCAGCCACATACAGTTAAGTATTACAACCAGCCAACCAGGGGGACAGCCTAGACTTCCTGGGCACCTGCAGCAAGAGCAATCCTGTCACAACAGAAGGACACAGAGAGCCCACACAGGGGTCACTCCTGGAATATTTGGAACTGGTGACAAGAGGGAAGCATACTGCCAGGCCTCATAAGGCATCTCTTACATAAGGCCACCTCTCCAAGATCAGAAGCTGACCCATGTAATACATAGATATAAGTGATGAAAGGAAAAGACCTACAGCCGAGAATACTCAAGATTATCCCAGCAAGATTATCATTCAGAAAGGAAGGAGAGAGAAAAGAGTTTCCCAGACAAGCAAAAATTAAAGGGTTTATCAACAATAAAACAGTTTTACAAGAAATGCTAAAGGGACTTATTTAATGGGAAAGAGAAAACCACAAATGGGAATAAGAAAATTATCCCAAAAAAAAAGTCATAAAATCACTGGTAAAGACAAAAATACAGTAAAGGTAGCAGATCAATCACCTATGAAGATAAAATGAATGCCAAAAGACTAAAATTACCTATTTCAATGAAAAGAGGGTAAAGAATACACACACACACACACACAAACAGGTTAGATATGATATCAAAAACATAAAACGTAGGAGGAGGGGAATAAAAAAGTAGAGCTTTTAGAAAGAGGTCAAACCAAAGAGACCATCAACTTAATAAAGATTGCTATACACATACATTAATATATATGAACTTCATGGTAATCACAAACCAGAAATCCATAATAAATACCAAACCATGCTGGGTGACATCCCACATAGAACAACTAGAATGACTTACAACTAGGATATACAACTACGTACTGGGGATCTGGGGAGAAAAAGAAAGAGAGAAAATCGGCAACAGATGTAAGTTCAGGGCCAATCTTTCTCACTGAACAAAAGAAAGAAAAAAGAAAGAGGAGAAATTACAATGGACATCTTAGAAATTCAAAAGGATTAAAAGAGAATACTATGAAAAGGTATACGCCAACAAATTGGATAATCTAGAGGAAATGGATACATTCTCAGAATCATACAACCTACCAAAATTGAATGAAGAGGAAATAGAGAATTTGAATAGACCAATCACCAGTAAGGAGATAGAAAGAGTAATCAAACACCTTCCAAAAAATAAAAGTCCAGGAGCAGATGGCTTCTCTGGTGAATTCTTTCAAACATTCATGAAGATTTAATACCTACACTTCTCAAACTCCTCCAAAAAATTGAAGAGGAGGGTAAGCTTCCTAATTCATTCTATGAAGCCAACATTACCCTGATACCAAAGCCAGACAAGGAAAACACAAAAAAAGAAAATTACAGGCCAATGTCACTGATGAACATCAATGCAAAACTCCTCAAAAAAAATACTAGCAAATCGAATATAACAATACATTAAAAAGATCATACACCATGATCAAGTGGGATTCATTCCAGGAATGCAGGGATGGTTCAACCCCCACAAATGAATCAACCTGATACACCACAGTAACAAAATGAAGCATAAAAATCACATGATCTTCTCAATAGATGCAGAGAAACCATGTGACAAGATACAGCATCCATTTATGATAAAAACTCTGAATAAAATGAGTATAAGGAAAATACCTCAACATAATAAAGGCCATATATGACAAACCCATAGCTAATATCATTCTCAATGGAGAAAAACTGAAAGCTATCCTTCTAAGAATAGGAACCAGATAAGGATGCCCACTTGCACCACTCTTATTTAACATAGTATTGGAAGTTCTAGCCAGAGCAATCAGGCAAGAAAAGAAATAAAAGAGATCCCAATTGGAAAGGAAGAAGTGAAACTGTCACTATTTGCAGATGACATGATTTTATATACAAAAAACACAAATAACCCACCGAAAACTTTTAGAAATAATAAATGAATACAGTCAAGTTGCAGGATACAAAATCAACATACAAAAATCAGTTGCATTTCTATAGACTAACAACGAAGTGGCAGAAAGAGAAATTAAGAATACAATCCCATTTACTATGGCAGCAAAAAGAATAAAATACCTAGGAATAAATTTAACCAAAGAGGTGAAAGATCTGTACGTTGAAAACTATAAAACATGATTGAAAGAAATCGAAGAAGACACAAAGAAATGGAAAGCATTCTGTGCTCCTGGATTGGAAGAATTAACATAGTTGAAATGTCCATACTTCCTAAAGCAATCTACAGATTCAATGCACTCCCAATCAAAGTTCCAACAATGTTTTTCACAGAAATAAAACAAAGAATCCTAAGATTTATATAGAACAACAAAAGACTCCGAATAGCTAAATGAACCTTGATAAAAAATAATAAAGTGGAGGTATCACACACCCTGATTTCAAAATATACTACAAAGCTATAGTAACCAAAACAGCATGGTATTGGCACCAAAACAGAAACACACACAGATAAATGGAACAGAATCAAGACCCCACAAATAAACCCACACATCTATGGACAGTTAATTTTCAACAAGGGAGCCAAGAACATACAATGGAGAAAAGAAAGTCTCTTCAATATATGGTGTTTGGAAAACTGGACAGCCACATACAAAAGAATGAAAGTAGACCATTATCTTACACCATACACAAAAACTAACTCAAAGTGGATTAAAGGCTTGAATGTAAGACATGAAACCATGAAACTTTCTAGAAGAAAACATAGGTAGTATACTCTTTGACATCGGTCTTAGCAGCACATTTTCAAGTACCATGTCTGACTGGGCAAGGGAAACAACAGAAAAAGTAAGCAAATGGGACTACATCAAACTAAAAACTTCTGTATAGCAAAGGAACCCATCAACAAAACAAAAAGACAATCTAACAATTGGGACAAGATATTTGCAGACCACATATCTGAAAGGGGTTAATATCCAAAATACATAAAGAACTCATACAACTCAACAACAAAGAAACTAACAACCCAATTAAAAAATGGGCAAAAGACATGAACAGACTTTTCTTCCAAGAAGATATACAGATGGCCAACAGGCACACATGAAAGGATGTTCAACATCATTAACTATCAGGGAAACCCAAATCAGAACTACAGTGAGCTATCACCTTACTCCCATCTGAATGGCCATAAGACAGGAAACAAGTGTTGGAGAAGATGTTGGGAAAAGGGAATTCTCATACACTGCTGGTGGGAGTGCAAAGTGGTGCAGCCACTATGGAAAACAGTATGGAGATTCCTCAAAAAATTAAGGATAGAACTACTATAAGATCCAGTTATTCTACTGCTGGGTATTTATCCAAAGAACATGAAAACGTGAATGCATAAAGATACGTGCACCCCTATGTTCACTGCAGTATTATTCACAATAGCCAAGACTTGGAAGCAACGTAGGTGGCCACATCAAGGGATGAATTGATAAAGAAGATATGGTATAGATACAGAATGGAATACTACTCAGCCTAAGAAACGATTAAATCCAGCCATTTGTGACAACAAGGATGGACCTTGAGGGTTTTATGCTAAGTGAAATTAATCAGAGGGAGAAAGTCAAATACCATATGATCTCATTTATAAGTGGAAGATAAAAACAACAACAAACAATCACATAGAGAGAGAGACTAGATTGGTGGTTACCTGAGGAGAAAATGGGGAGGGAGGAGGGCAAAAGGTGTGATTAGGCACAGGTGTGTGGTGGTGGATTGTAATTAGTCTTTGGGTAGTGAACATGATGTAATCTACACAGAAATTGAAATATAATGATGTACACCTGAAAATTGGATAATGTTATAAACCAATGTTACCACAATAAAAAATAAATTTAAAATTTTTTAAAATATTGAAAGAATAAATTAGGTAAATGTTAAAAGAAATACCTTAATATTTACCTCCAGGTAGGTTTTGACTTTTCAGTGTACAATCTCTGTCCACACAACTCTAAGAGATATGAATCAAATTGATATTGTCTTACATGGCTGTCCAACACTTTCTTAGAAAGAGACATACATAAAATACCTGTCTTCCTGAATTTTTGGCAGAAACCACACACATCAATGTTGGATACACTGAGAGAATGTAAAGTCAGTTTCACAAGTCTTAGCTCATCATGCTCATCAACAGTGTACAACGGGAGGCTGGGAGTTTGATTGAAGTCCTGAGTAAGAATATCTTTGATGAGCTGTTAGTATAGAATCCCCATCAGAAGAATTGTGATCATATCAAGAGAACTAC